CAGTAGAGTACAGGGAAGGGAACAGGGGGAAAGAGGAGAGGGAAGAAAAAGTAGAAATACTTTGTCTATTACTGAGACCTCTTATAATTCAAGTAAATTATATTCCATGCTTTTATAATTATGTCAAATGAATCCTAATGTGTAACTAAAATATAAATTAAATTTGCATATATAATAATATGATATAATAATTATATAATCCCCAATTACTCTATTTTCTCGATCGTGTTTTGCATCTGTTGATGAAATCCTTTCAGGAACAGTGGTGTGAAGAAAGCTTTTGTGCGACTCTAAAAATAAAAATAAGTGATTTTATTTTAGTACCTGTGATTTTACATTATTTAATGCTAAGTCTATTTCTGCATTTCTTTCTTTACATTAAATAATCTACACATCTCTTCCTTTCTACCATTTTTCTAGTCATTTTTATCTCCAAATTTCTAAACCCTTTCTTGTGACTCTCTCATTTTATTCTCTCTCTCTCTCTCTCTCTCACACACACACACACACACACACACACACACACACAATTCTGCAGTTTGACAGCTAGCTAAAGTACTTAGTACCAAATTAGTGTTGTGACAGGAGCAGAAATGAGAAAACAAACTGGTTAAGAAAGGGAGGTCATTTGCAGGAAAGCATGTAGATTATCAGATATAGGAATAATCTGCAATTTCCAAATTAGAAAATCATTGAGTTTCTTCATGGTGATTAGTAGAATTTTGTATGGGATGGTGGGTGAGGGAGACACAGTTTTGTCCATTATGCAGATAAGAACGCTGTCCCAGAGAAGTGAAAATATTCTCCACCAGAGGCAGCCTTTCTGGTTTCACTTTTTGGTAGAAGCAAGCGGCAAGGAGAAATTGCGTGGGAGATCTGGCCTGGATCTGGGATGGGAAGGGAGAGCCCCCCCGCCCCCAAGCTAAATGAACACAGTCCACACTCAGAAGCCCAGGCTGGGAGAGGGACAAATGTGTGCACTCACTGCGGCCTGCGTGCAGCCCACCAAGTCCGGTGAGAAGCACCACAAGAAGTAACATGGCTCCAGTGTCATGGAGCCCGTCTGTGTAACTGCAGTTGAGACGTTGAAGCAAGTGCAGGAGCAGCTCGCTCCAGGCAGCAGCGCGAGATGCCCCACAGGAAGGCGATCTGAGAACAGAGAAAAGGAAACCTCTGTGGAAGGACGCACTGCCAGTGGCTGCTGAGCGCTGCTAGTGGGCGCCTGAGCGCCCTGAGAAGGCTTTCAGAGGTTTTTTTTGTTTTTGTTTGTTTTTTTTTGAGATTCAACAAAGATATTTAATTAATTTATTTGATACATGGCTATTGAATTAGTAAAGCATTAGTGTAAAACCAAAATAACTTTTCTAAGAGAGACAATGTACATCACATTAGTCCAACACATTGAGCACAATTCAAGATGAAGTGTTCAAAAATTCAAGAGAGCCTTTGCCTGGGTCAGGGAGCCAGATCCCTGGAAACACTTTAAGGCTCCAAAGCAAAGTTTTCAAAATGATTTAGTGACAGTGACATAGGAGAAACAACTCAAGAATTTGTTAGAAATTAACAAAAATCTCTTCATAATATTGTTTTTGGAATTTTGTATAATCACATCCAGAAAAAAAAACCTGGCAGATGGATATGATCAGCATCATGGTGACCTATGAGTTGTCCATTGGTCTTGTTTATTTTTAGTGGTGATATCCATTGAAATCACTGAGAGAGAAAAGATATAACCTAACAATTATAGTTTTGTTGAAATCGTCTCTATTTTTTGCACTGGAGATTTAAATTTTTTTTTCAAGCTTTCGGTGCAGTCCGATTACAAAAATGTTGTACATACCCTTGCTAACAACTATAGTTTCTTTCTGATTTTTAGGTGAACCCAAGTGAAAACTTATATTAAAATGCAAAAAATTCACATCACATAGTACAGAGAAGCAAAAACCACTTGCTTTAAAATGAATCTCAGAAAAAAAATTATAATTTTCTGATAGATCTTTTCCTGTCATCTTCAAAGACTGTCAGTGAAACTTTTATTTTCATCCTTTTTAAGCAAAAAAAAAAAAAAAAATTCTTAATCATTATCAAAAGAATTTAAATTTGAGATACCCATCTGTTGCAATTTTTAGAGGCTCCAAACACCCCTCCTGGAGAGAAACCTTGGTTTTGAACTTCAGTGATGAAACAGTGGTCTCCTTTGTACAATCTGCTTATACTGCTGTTAGATAGCAAGTATTTCAACACCAACCTTCAGTCAAGAGCCTCTTGTCCTACAAGACACTCATTATTCAAGGAAAAATATCATCTACATTTAAAAAATGAAAGAACAGAATCTGTGCTCACGCAAGTATTTTATGTTGTATTTTTTTAAAATCTCTAATGCAGAGGCTCTGCAATCACCAGAATTGCAATTTTTTTTTTCCTCTCTGAAATAATAAAGGGACCACTTAATTATCATCTCATGGTCATTTTGCTTGCGACGTGCAGATTTTGAAATCCGATAACAACTCTAATGAAAAGCATTTCTTCATGGCCACAACCCCTTCACACCTGGACTATCGCTTTCAGAAGATGATTATATGGTTGCTACAAGAAGGTCACCATACAAGGCCAAAGTTACCATCAGATGCCTGGATTCCCCACAAGCACCTTACTAACATAATGCAGAATGAATGGCTCCAGAGGTTTACAAAAAGAGACTATTTTTCAATGTCCATTAGTGCTTTGAAAAGACAATTTCAAATAACATAACACTACAATGAGGTTAAGGTAATGGGACTAACCTTCTAAAATGTTAACCAGCTTGTAGTTTGAATTAAAAATAATGATAAAAGAAGATGAAACTAATATTTTACAGTAATTTTCACTGAAGTAAATGAAGCAAGGCTTACATAGGAGAACCTAGAAGAATATAGAATTCTACCCATCAATTTGCTTCAAACGACAGCATATGTTGTGTTTTATTTTGAATTCTTTGATAAATGAATGTTTATCCTGGGATCAGTGGTTCTAGGTGAATGGCAGATTGCAGCAGCAATTGCTTTCTTACCAAGAGAATTATCTTAAATCAGATCTCCTTTGTTTGATGAAACCTAAATTGCAGGGGGAATATTTAAACATCTAAGGAGAAAATCCATAGATAAGTTAACACATGGCTCCAAGATGCATTTAGCAGAACTAATTGTCTCTATTATTCTTTTATTCTGGAAGCTACAGATGGAATGTATAAGTGAAATAGCAAAATACTCTATCATTGTGCATTCTCTGATAAGGGACAGTAGGCCACCAAAATAGTAGATTTACTTCAAGTGGGTGCTGGGACCAAAGAGACAATTACACCTTAGCAAGTCCAGCTAAATAGCTGGATTAAGAATAAAAACTCCTTCTTTGTGCTGTGCTTTTTTTTTTTTGTGAGGCTGAGAAAACCTGGAATCTGGTTCCGCTGTGGAGTACCTGTGGTACTCTGCACTCTCAACTCAAATATATCAAGAAGACTGGCTAAGTGACTGCACATGTGTGGTCCTAAAGAAAGTGATGGTAAAACCACCATGATAAAGAGCTCAAGGGCAGACATTCCTGCATTTGACTCCTGTCTTTGCCACATACTAGATACATAACCCCAGGAAAGGTCTTATATCTCTCTAAAGTCCTTTTAAAAATTTTGGTTAGCTAGAGAATGATAAAATATAATCAAGTATCAAAAAGCCATCTGGGGCTGGGACTGTGTCTCAGTGGTACAGCATTTGCCTAGCACGCGAGAGGCACTGGGTTTGATCCCCGGCAACATATTAAAAAAAACAAACAAACAAAAAAACTAAACAAACAAAATAAAGGTATTGTGTCCATCTACAACTAAAAATATTAAAATAAAAAAAAGCCATCTGGCAACCTATCAGACATTTCTCAAGACTTTCCAGGAGAGTTCCTTGCCTCCCCAGCCCACTGAAGCTATCTTGCCTGAGCTTCTCCTTGACACTGAGCCCAGTAGCTCCATTCAAAGCCTGCTGGGTTCTAACAGGATGCCTCTGAAACCTCTAACTCTGCTGGCCATTCCCCTCTTTGTGAATCACCTCCTTCTTCCCTCAATACAGAGAGAAAAGCAGACACATTTACAGAAGAGAAGCCACTGTTCTGGGAGAGACAGTAGCTGCCTGAGTTTCTTTCACCTCTTAGAACTTGGTTTTTGGTCTTCCTGACTCTAGGTTCTAAGAATGTCTCATTGAGCTGCCTTAAAACATCAGAGTTTAAGCCATGTTAAAGCTAAATGTTCAAGACAAGTCAGGAAGCCACTAAATTTTTCAGGTTAAGACAGTACCTGGTGAGGATTTTGTTTAGATGTTTTGGTAAAACCATCACTTTTCGATTTATTTCCAGTTGTAGTGAGGAAAATCAAATATGCAAGTGATTAAGTTATGATAACAGCTAGGTAGCCTCCCATTATGTTCCTATACATCCAAACCATTGTGCTAGAACCAGGCAAAATGCATGTTTGAAAACAAACAAAATGTTGCAGAGGCTGTGACTGGTTGAATTTCACAATTAGATACACCATTACAGAGTAGCTACTGAAGACAGGGCACTTCATAAAATAATCCCTGATCAAATAATAAATTTACAGAAATATCTTCTGCAATATCCCAAGTTAATATTGCTACACTCTGTGATCCCTCAGCCCCCATGTTGTGGAGGGGGCAAAATTGCAATGTATACAGTCCAGGGGGGAAATAAAGAATATCCACATGCTTCTGCCCCTTTCAATGCTTTATTCACTCAAATTAATCAATTTCACTCTATAAGTTCTTAAGAAAACGATGATCTTTAATGCTAGGCACTGCAACAGACATAATGAATTCACAGCAAACAATTCTAGATTACTTCTAAGGGCTGCAAAACACACTTAATCTCCACTGCTGTCATGTATTTAATAATAATAATAATAATAATAATAATAATAATAATAATAATAAAATCAATAAAAGATATAAAAAACACACATACACTTAATCATGACGGGCTAATGACAGACATTCCCTCTGCATACTAAGTTCAAAAGTCTTAAGTCTTAGGCTTTGAGTCCAGCAGATGCACACTCACTTAGACTGCGGTGACCAGGTCTGGAATCAAGGCAGGCCTTTCCTGGCATGAACTGGAAGACTAGTTGAGGAGAGGGTCGGAGGGAGAAGTGTTGTGGCTCTCTCATCAAGGTCCAGCAGAGGAGGTAGAGTTTGAGAGTGGTGAGGATCTCAGGATCTCAGAGGATCAGGAAACAATGACAAGTGATGGGATGTCAGGTCCTCATCAGGCTCTCCAGCTCCAGTGCATCAGAGGGCAGCCTTGTTTTGGCTTGCTAAATCCACTATTCATTAGCTCTATTATTTATACTAAGTTTGGGGGCTTTTGACCCCCCTTTCAATTCTTACCAGCTACCACTGGATTTCTCCATGACATAATTTACCCTGGGATCAGATATATCTAGTCTGGGAAATAAGTAACTTGTTTGAGGCCAAACTGGAGCACTCTATGGGTGTGCCTGATAAAACTACCTGTTTCAAAATGGAGTTTTTTAAATGGAGTTGCTTAGGCTCAAGCCTAAGGCCATCTTCACACCCCAGTTTTTATTTAATTAGCCCTTTTGAAGTTCTGCCTGTTTTAGAGGCAGAAGCCTTTTGATTTCCTGGAGACCCTAAACTTTGTTACTTTGCAAGCCCTAGTTCACATCATAATAAGTACTACAGCTATATCCTTGCATTGCCTATATTTTGGTGTTAAAAAAAAAAGAAAAGAAAAAGAAAAAAGGCAAAAAGCATGTTTATAAATTGAATTTGAAATTACTTGGTCATTTTGCAAATCTAAGGGAGGTTATTAGCAGAAAAGCAGTAGCAAATCAATTTTAAAAAGGGCCAAGTAACCAAGAAATAAAGACCTAATAGATGGAATAAATTGGATGGGCACAACTGCTTAATGAATTAGCACACTGAAAAACATAGAAAGGAACAGGGAAAGACAAAAAAATAGAAACACAAAAATAAAATTAAGAGATAAGAGAATTGAAATATAATTATCAATATCTAGATAATAGCATTTTCAAAAACGGAAAAAATAAAAATAGAAGGAACTATTTAAAGAGATAATAGGGAAAGTTTTGTAGCTTTAAAATATAAAATAATAGAAAGAGAGTGAAAAGACTCAGAGATTATGAAGTGGGCATTGTTGAAAAAATTAAATGAAAACTAAAAAGGCATGAAATTTTAAGTGACAGCAAAGAAAAGTTCTAAAATCTGCCAGAGAAAAAGAGCAGTTCACAGGCAGTCAGTATAGATAGGTAAATCGAGTCAGGTTGGATCAAGGAGGCCAATTTTGAGCTCAGGAAGTTGTGGACTTTCCGTTGTCCACCCTTACCAAGAACCTGCCCCTGCTCCTGCTCCAACCTGTTGCTAGGGTAACCTGTCCCAGGAATTGCCCCTCCCTACAGGAGTTGTAAAAGTTGTTCATTACTGTCTCCTGGGCTGCTTCCTGCCTGGATCACTCCACCTTGGCCCCTCCAGCCCATCTGCTTCTCATCTATTGGCCATCCCACCTGGGCCAAGCAGGAAGGAGAGAGATAAGGGGGTAGAAGGCAGAAAAACAAAACAAAACAAAACAAAAGTCTAGGATGTATACAAGAAGCAGGACACTCTCACTTCTTGGCATACCAGGATACCAGCTATGGCCCCTTCTCCCTCCAGGGGAGAAGTCTGTATTAATATTTTTTAAATGAACCCTGCTTTCTATACTTGCCTCAGCATGCTTCTCTAATGTTCAGACTTCAACATGTGGGGAAGCAGAACTCCTCATCCATAACTGGTGGTATCAGAATAAAGTCCCTGGGAGCAAATAGGAAAGCTATCTATGCCTAAGGAGAGGAATTTGGTTCAAAAGCTCCAAACAATGACATGGCTGAAGCTTGTGTGTGTGACCTGCTCTCACACATGCACAATGAGGCACACTGCAATATCTTTTGCTATCACAAAATTTTGGTGGAGTTATGTTTTTGTGGTGTTGATACTGCCAGTTACCAATGACGAGTTCTGCTCCCTCAAATGTTAAAGTCTGAACATTAGAGAAGCACGTCGAGGCAAGCATATAAAGCAGGGTTTATTTAAAATGGAGTAACATAGACTTCTCCCGGGAGGGAGAAAGGGGCCATCGCTGGTATCCTGGTATCCCCAGAAGCCAGGTGTTCTGCCTTTTTTATTTGTCCTAGGCTTCCTTTGTTCTCCTGCTTTCCCCCCCCACCCCTCTTATTTTCTCCTTCCGCATACATGACTAGGCCCAGGAATGCCCAGGTATGCTCAGTGGGATGGCCAAAGATGAGAAACAGGTGGGCTGAAGAGGGAACATGATGCAGCCCAGGACCCATTAATTAACAACTTTATAGCTCCCTTTAGGGAGGGGCAATTCCTGGGACAGGTTCCCTTAGCAATAGTTTGGAGCAGAGGCAGGTTCTAGATAAAGGTGGAGGAGGGCTCTGAAGGAATTAACATTTCAATCCCTTGGGGGACAGTCTCCAACTTCCCAGAAATCACTCAAAATTGACCTCCTTGATCTGACCTGACTTGATTTGCCTATCTACACTGACTGCCTAATTCTGTCTTCAGTACTATTAAAATCTTGGTCCTTTCTCCCCAAAGCCAATTCAATAACAAGGACATGGTTTGGAGAAAATGGAAAAAGGAGGTTTATTGCTTTGCTAGCTAGGGAGAAGCACAGGGAACTCCTGTCCCAGAAGCTGTAATTCTCTCATAAGAGAGAACAGAGGTTTTTAAAGAAGCCGTTCAAAGGCTTTATTCTAGGTGTCCTTGTAAGGGGATTGTGATTCATTTGTTCATTTGGGGGAGGGAAAAAAGGAAAAAAAATCCACTTTAAGATAAGCCTCAGGGGCACTGCAGCAAGGGCCATATTCAAAGCATGAAGTGGGCCACTGTTACATTGGGAGGGGCTGGGTTGCTGGGAATCCAGCCCAGGCCCTCGCACACGCTAAGCACATGCTCTACCACCAAGCCACACCCCCACCCATGAAAACCTGCTTCACAGAAGCATTTAGAGCGATGACAGTAGGAGAATAAATGCCAGGGCTGCTCTATTGGAAAGTTAGTAATGGTGTTGTTTTTAGGGACCACAGGTCCTAGAATGCAAACATGAATTAACAAGTTTTTAGCTGATTCATTTTACTTTCGAGAGTGACACCTGATCAGTGACTTTCAAGAAGGAACAATAGGAATATGGCTATTGGTTGCTGTTTCTGTGGCCTTGAAGGCCTTTGAAGGTGACAACTGTAGCAGCTTAGTGTCTGAAGGTGACTCAGAAACCCGCTCTGGGTTCAGCTTTTCTTCAGGAAGGAGACACCCATCTGAGCTACCAGACTAGTTCCCTGCAGTCACAAGGCCTGGCAGCCTGGATCTGCCCAGCCCCGCTTCTCTGTCAGAGTTTGGGATGATGTTCCCAGTGCTGGGTCCTCAAAGTAAATGCAGCCAGGCCTCTTTCCCCAAATGTGAGGGAGAAAGAGGGGACAGGACAGAAGGGGCAGAGAATAGAAGCAGTGAGAAAGCCAACAATCAAGGTCTCAGTAATGACAGTGGCAGTAGTAGCAGGGCCAAGAACCAAAGCAACACCTCCCCAAAGGCCACGTCTTGGAGACCCAGATGAAGCAGCTCTCCCCCCAGTGTTCCAAGGGAAGAGATGGATTATTGCTGGCCTAAACATGGTGCGGACTGGCTGACACATTTGGGGCTATGGCCCATGTGCAAATCTGTACTTATACATGAAACTGGGGAATGTTGTGCCAGTAATCATTTCAGATATGCCAAATATTAAGCAT